GCATTTGATCATTAAGGTTAGAGAAACTTTTTCTTCTAGTAAGGTTAATATTGTGCCTGGCAACACTATGGATGTATCTCGTCTATGTGAGACCCAATGGGTCACCTTGCTTAACCTAACCAAGTCTAAGGTCAATATTTGCTCAGAGTTCATTTAAGAGTTTAACTCAACAAAACATATTTCAAGGCATGATCATTGACCATTCTGAAACCTTCTCGTTCTCTGTGAAAGGAGCATATTAGTGATTTACAATCTTATATCCTGATTTCTCTAATATCAGCAGTTAAATTAGTCCATTGTCATCTGTTTGTTTTGTCCACACAATTTTTTTTTTTGGTGTTGCCATGCCTTTTATGCTTTCTGGCATCTATTGGTTTTCATTACATCTTAGATTTGTGACTTCCGACTCCTTTAGAAGAACAAAATTGTAGTTAAGTAGCTGCTGAGTACTAAAATGTATGGGAACATATGTATAAAATACATATTCAATACATACATTTAAGAGCACACACAATCGCTTCAACCACTTCTACTTACCTTTCCAAGCATTATTTCAAGCGTCGCTTGGAGACAGCCATTAAAAACGTTGACACCTGAAACCCAATTAAGCCGCCACCGATAGTGCTGATGGTATAATTTGTTTCAATATCTTCAGTAAATGTGTGATTGTAACGTGCAAATTCAGTTCTCCACCTGTTACATGATGCCATCAATTATGCACACGCACAATCCATACATACATACATACTCGTACAAATATTCATGTACACAGGTAAATACGAGGAGATTAATAATAGTTCGGTCTGTTGGTGACTTTCAATTTGTTTTTGTTAAATGTAAAAATAACAAATGCAATTTAAAAGTCTTCTTGCCAAATTTTAGAACGATCTGCTGAAATGAAGACGAGAAAACGCAAGATAGCTGAGGATAGGTCAGCCGAAATTCCACCACCAACGCTAAGAGAAATTCGCCATGTAATTCTCTTTGGGTTTCGGAGCAATTAAACGCCAATACGAATATTCAGCGAATTTCAAATAGCATATGGAACGATTGCACCGTCTTTTAAGACTATTTCTAAGCAATTCCGAAGTTTCCAGACCAGATATTTTTCTGTAGAAGGTAAGCCCCGAGAAGGTCGACCGAAATCGTCTACCGTTGACGTCACTGTAGCTCTCGTGAAGTCCAAAATTGACGAAGACCCACGATTGATACAAGAAATGATTGTTGAATTGGGATTGAATGCCATAAATGTATCGCCAATATTAAGTAATCAACTGAGATACACGAAGAAATTTACTGGATGTGTACAACGAATTTTTAATGAGGCGTAAAAAGTGGCTCGAGTGCATTTTGGTCAAGTTTTACAAAACAAATTCGAAAATGGTCAGTATAGCAACCTAAGAAAAGTCCTTACTAGTGACGAAGCTTGATGCTATAAATAATAGTCCATGGTATGGAGCCCAACAGGAGCAAACCCACCCGTAAAATCTAAGCAACAAAAATCAGCAGAAAAAGTAATGATGTCAGTTTACTTCAGCCGATCTAAAATCGTAGCTGCTATTCCACTGGAAAAGGGTCGGACGGTAACTGCAAATTGGAACACCGAAGAGTGCTTATCGAGAGTTTTCAAAAATTAGTTGGAAAACAGGAAAAAAGAGGATTTGCTTAACTTACCGAACTTTTGTTAATCCCTTCGTAAATATGTACATACATACAAATGTTCATGTGCACAGGTAAATATGTGGCTGAGGCACAACAGTTTTGGCGGCGTTAAGCAAACATGTATGTATATACTAGTATGTATGCCTATAAACAAGCAAATAGACACGCCTGATCGTAAATGTAGTTCGGCAGCAACTTGGTACAACTATAATGCCAGCAGCAATAGTTATAGTGACAACAACCGGCACGCGAGTCTTTACTTACATGTGAATCCACACACTTAGATATTTAAACACTCGTACATATGTACATGTGTACATACATTAGGGAGTTCTGAAATTCACCAAATCATGTCTTCATACGATAAAGCGAAAAAGTAAGTAATGGTCGAAATCGAACAAACATCAAGTCCATATCTTCTATATTCCGATTTAATTCAGGACTCGTTATAGGCTCCTAAGAAAATCCATCAGCCGTTCGGAGGCGACTTGGAAAAATTTTGGCTCCCTTCATTTGTTGAAAAACAACAAGACGCATACCACAAACTAGAGGAACAGTTCGGACAAAATACAGCAGTTGCAAGCCGCCAATTATATACAGTGGGTAGAAAAAGTAAGTTATCAAAGTGAAATATAAAGCAGAAAGGTGAGGTGAATAGAACTTTAAAGTTTATATTTTTTTAAACAAAAATTTTTTTACTCATTGATACTATACTTCAAAGTATCAAATTCTATTCTTAAAACAGGATAGAAATTCATTGGCTTCATAAAAAGAAAACATAAACGCCAATAGTATTTTTCATGTAGAATAAATCAAATTGTTTAATATCCACAATGTCCATAGCTTTGCATTGCTAGTTCACCCAATCGTTGTTGCATGTAGTTGACAAATTTCAAACACTCATTTTGAGGACAATTTGTACAAGTGTTATACATGAAGTCCTTCAAATCACCCGCGTTTTGGGGTCTCTCTTCACCTATATACGCATCTATAGTGTTGTCTATGCAATCTCAATTGGCAACAAATCAGGGCTTGGAGGAGGCCATTTCAACACACTCATGTGTTAATTCTTTTTTAGATATTCGGTGATGACTTTTACAGGCCTATTCTGTCGAGGTAACAAATTTTACATAGGTATTAAAATTTACCATTCAATAAATTTTGTTACCCTTTCGTATTCTGAGCTCACTGTTACCCTGTAAATTTTGTTACCAGCAAAATAGCAGGTAACAAAAATATCTGCTGTTTGATTTTGTGTTGTAAGTTTGAGAAAAAATAAAAAACCGAAATGAGTTGGCATATTTTAGGCCTGCAATTCATTGAAGATGAAGAAAAAAGTGCAAAAAGCCGTATTTTAAGAAGTTTTCGAGACTAAAAAGTAGCCCATTAAATTGTAAGATAACGTATTCATTCAGCTTTTTTTGTTGTTCAGGCATATTTTCCATAATTAGGTTCAAATATTTATAATTTAATAAACATATTATTAAAAAATTTTAATTTTTTTGTGCACTGTCTTCCATTTTGATGTGAATATTTGGACATAATTTGACATGGACGAAAAAAGCAGTGCTGCCAAATTTTTTTCAAACATTGTTACCAGTTCGTCAGAATACCAAATTCAATTTCGGGTGTTAAAGAAAAGTAACAGTGAGAATAGGCCTGTTACAGTATGAATGGGCGCATGGTCCAGTCCAATTAGTAGTTGACCCTTTAGGATGGCGTGCTGCTACCAGAAAACAAATGCTGCCAATGTCATTCACAGATACGCATCCACAAACCATCAAACCCTTTTCCACCGACTTGGCTGTGGATAAGGTGAATTTGTATGACATTTCTACTTTGGGAGATGCGCCACACGTCGGAATAATCAGTCCAGAGCATTATATGTCAAAAATTATGTGGTTTTAATATGTGCAGTTAATCAATTTCTTGCCGTTTTTTCCTACTTGCCTCATTTAGTTAGGGTAACTTTCTTGACATTGATTATGGCTGAACGCCCCTCAATGGTTAGTTTCTTAAACTTTGTTTATTTCAGTATTTTTTTTTTTACAAGCGATCGCAAATAAATTCATCAATTGTAGTATCCTGATAACGGTACTTTCCGAATATAAACAAAAAAATTTATATCCGATAAAGTGAAAAAGTCGAGAGCATTTACAAAAGCGGTGGTTGATTTGATAACTGACTTTTTTAGCCTACTGTATATGTTAATTTAGTACTAAATGGTGGTTAGCGTATAGTATGTAGTAAATAAGATTAAACATGTACCGTAACAAAGATTCTACAGTCGAAATATGACCATCTCTGAATACGAAGAATCATAAAAAAAGGATATTTTGAGAAAAATTAAATAATGTATGAAACTCCCGTTAAGAAGTTTTAATTGCAAATAATCGTTATTGATAGTCTAAAGCTTTTGAGTAAAGCCATTTTTCTAAATCACTAATTTTCATTTTTTAAATTTATTTATAATACTGAACAAGGGGAAATAATTTTCATCGGCGGATTACCCTAATGGACTTCAGGCTATCTCTGTATATTAGATGCCTCTTAGGCGAGATTAAGTTTTGGTTCAATGTGCGCTATGTCTGCAGCTCTCATTTTTTATTTAACTGCATTTACTAAAAATATTTCTATAGAACAGTAAGCTTCAGATAGATATCTCTCCGACATAAAAACAGACTTTATGAGAGATTAATGTTATGGAGTATGCTTTTATCTAAAATCTGAGCTTAAGCAGTTACACTCAGAGACGTTAAAAAATGATCTTTATAGCTCTATTTAATTCTCTCTGCTCAATAAGGTTCCCTCCAAGTGTTCAGTTTTGAAAGACGATTTTTGAATTTATTTGATTATTATTGAGCTGCCTTAGGTTATTCAATATCACAAAAATGTGTTGTATGAAAATTCGTTCGATTTCGTTCGTTTGAATCAAATTAATGTATACAAAAGTTTCGAGAAATAAGAATTATTATCGATACAATATAAGACAGATGTGGTGACTCCCAAGACTTCACAGGGTTATTAATAATAGTGCATCATGGGTGTCCTTTATTTAAGTTAATTCTCAGGAATTTTTCCATAAAAGTATGTACTAAGACTGACTCTGGTAGCAGCAATAAAAGCAGAACAATAATTATCAATGTATTAGGTCTAGTAAAAAGTAATCCATTATTTTTGCATAACTAATTGTATTTTTCTAACAGCTACTATAAATCCATAACATGATCTATGTGTTTTATAATCCGACAATCAGTTGATAAAAGAGTTCACGAGTTCTCGTAACAGTGACCTCGTGCACGTGGCAAATTCGAGATTTCCTGAAATTGAGATTTCACTCACTTTTTATCCTTGTCATCACTGACGTTCAACAAGAGAGCCAGCAAACTATACGCGTTGTTCATAGTCTGAAAGAGAAGAAAATCACCAAAAGTATAGACATATTTTTTACAAACGAGTGTATGATATTAAAGAAATTAACAAAAAAAAATGCTTTAAAATTATTGCCTTTGAAAATATTGGTAAGCCAATTTGAAAAAAGCTCCCTGCATACAGTACCAAAGGAAGTTTCAAGTACTGCATATAAAGCAACATGAGTCGTCTGTTGTACGCCGACATGCCGGTCCAGTCGGCGTTGTAAAGAGACTTGCTCAAATTCTGCGACTGCACTGTCAATTCGTTGGCATAATAGCAGGGCAGAAAAATCTGCATGGACATAGCGACGACATATTGGAACATGGCGAGATATTCAGTAGGGTTGTCGCTGAAGTGCACCTGTTTAAGAAAACTAAAAAATTAAGTTACCCAAAGGACTTCAAAGTTACTCATTGGCTTACACTTTGCATACGATAGATGATGAAACAAATAATCAGCGCACTCAACATTATCTGTATTGTTACCGGCAATGATATAATTTGCTCACAGTTTCTGGCCATGCTGGAAGGAAGTAGTAAAAATTGCAATCAAATCGCATCTGAGCAATGTGTACACATGTTACCCACTCATTTATGCGGCGATGCATTTTAATTGTTTTCAAAAACTCCCGAGTGATAGCATTCTCGTCACCGGCGTTAGCCAAACGCTCCAAGCGCATGCCAACCACACGCAAGCAAAGTGCTAAGTGTAACAGTAAATAGCATTGAAAAACATCAATCTCAATATTGCAGAGGCAGGTGAAAGGCATTGTTAAGAGCTCATAAAAATACATCAACCAATAGTAGTCTTCGAGCCAATGATTCGGCGTCCAGTACGGGAATGGCAGTGCTTGGTCATTTATGAACAGACACGAAAGTAAAGCACAGACGGCCGAACTGATGCTCCAGTAGATGTAGCCCAGCATTATTTTACGGAAAGTGCTTTGTTTCTTTGCCCACATATTCTTTTCAGCATTCGACCGCAGCACAAACATCTCGCCCGTCTCCCATTCATGCAGAAATGCTGCTGCTTTACGTGCATAATACCAGGTGTTGAGTATCTTGAAGACCAGCGCCATTTCAGTGAGTAAGAATTTTAACACTTCAGTGGCGTGATCCAGACTCTCACTGCAAATGACCTCGAGCAACATGAGAAATGTAAAGCTAAATGTGAATGTGATTTGTAAGAACAGTTGATAAAAGCAGTAATTTCGTTGAAGCCACGATCCGTGCACGGTGATCACCGGCCACAAGCCCAGAAGTACGAGTGCGCGAGTCAGAAAGCGCGAATTGGCAATGTTATCGAAGGTCATGGTTGGAGAGAATAAAGGTTACCGACTGTACTTTGTGGCTTGGATTGTGAGCATTTTATATGATTTAGTAGGCATTCAATTAGCTATTCGATAGTTAGAGGGGCGTGCCAGTGAGCGAAAATTGAAATTCACTTAATGACTTAATAATCTGCGTGGCATTAAGTAATTTTCAATTAAAATGCAATTACGGCATTCCCTGCGTATTTTTCGTGCGTACCGTACGGAAAATTTAATTTTAGTATGTAAACAGTGGTGGCGACAACACTGCAGTGCCCGGTACTATTCGGCAATTCATAGGTTCGAGTCTCAGAAAGTCCAACATCCACAATTTATAAAAATTACTACATTAAATGAACCATCGTCGGCCGATAACAGTTGAGAAAAATGTGTTTTGCTGTTTTTTTTTCGAAAATCCGGCTGAAAATCACTTCAGGAGTTCTGGAGAGGTTTCCTCTAAATTATAGTGTGCCTCAAACAACTGTTGGATTTTGATGAGGAGAAAAATTAATTTTAATTTTAGATGTATTCTAGGCTTAATTAGTATTTACTTATACCATAACTTATACGGCTTTGTAAGCTGACGTTAACCCCAAAAAAAAGCGTCATCGTGATCCTTCCCTCTCCGAACCGTTCGATACTAAACGAGGACTCAGACAGGGTGATTGTTTATCGTGCAACTTATTTGCTGGGGAGCTGATTAGGGAATGAACAATTTTCTATAAGCTCGCGCCGATGATATTATTGGCCTCAACAACCGCGCCAAGAGTTCTGCTTTCTCCAGACTATGAAGGAAGGAAGCAAAGAGTATGGAGAGTGATAGCTATGTGTATCTGGGAGCTAGTATTAACTCCAGCAACAATGTCAGCATGGAAATCCCGCGCAGAATCACTCTTTCCCACAGGTGCTGGTTTGGACTGAGTAGGCAATTAATAAGTAAAGTCCTCTCTCGACGAATCAAACTAAGCTCAGCAAGTGCCTCATAATTCCCGTCCTGCTATATAGGGCGGAGACGTGAACGATAACAGCAACTGATGACTCGGCGTTAGAAAGGTTTTGCGAAAGATTTATTATCCTCATTGAGTTGGTAATGGCGAGTGCTCCAGCTGATGGACTGATTACCTATGCGAGGTATACGGAAACAGTGGCTGAATTGGCTAGATCATGTGTACCGTATGGATAAGAATACTCCAGCTTTGAAACTCTTCGATGCCGTACCCATCGGTGGAAGCAGAGGAAGAGGAAGAAAGATCAGGTAGAGGCTTTGGTCGTACTTGGTTTTTCCAATTGGCGTAAAGAAACCAAAAGAAGAAATGAGAATGCTGTCTACGCTAGTAAAGGAGAAGAAGAATCTCGATGTTGCGGAATTAATTGTTTGTTTCGAATTGGGTCTAAAACTACTTCACCGGTTTGCATGAAATTTCGTACTTCATTGGCTTGTTACCTTGGACTTGTGGCAGGATTATTCTGGAAGGTGGGCCAAAAACTGAAGGTGCTTTTCTTGCTACTTGATATTATTTATATTATATTTTTCTGCTGAATGGCAGACAAAATATTTTGAAATAGGTGGCAGCTCTGCTCTTAAACATCCTTCTGAAGCCAATTCCAATTGATACCCTTAAATGCATTGGAAAACAAAATAAAAAAATTAAAATAAAATTCCATAGAAATGTCAACTATTTCAAAAAAACCGAAATTTTAAAAAACATTATTCGGGTTTGTACCAAACAAGTCATCATCATGTTCAGCTACTTTTATTTCATTAACAATTACACCGAAAACAATCGCCGAATAGGGCATTCGTAAGTCAATACCATATCGCGTTAAGCACAAAGTCAGTGTTGGGATGTTATGACGTAATATTTTTAAATACGAGTGTGTACGTGTAACCTTACTAATAATGTTCGCGTGCATATTTATACCTACTACATACATACAATTGGAGCGGGTAATAATGGGCATTCATAATTTGCGCTGCTATCTTCGAGGCATTAAAACAATGAGACCAGAGCGCGCGATTGCACTTCCACGATGCAACTCATATGTATGTATGTATGTAGTTCCAAATGTACTAAGTATTCGATATGCTGTACATAATTATGAACCAAAAAGTCCCGAATGAAACAAAAAAAGGCATAGCAGCCAGGCAGATGAAAGTCGGTAAATACAATAGTTGGTCGGAGCTGCCTATCTTCATGGCCCGTAAATGCAGATAAAAAATATAAAATTGGCACACTCAACTTTGTGACAATAATTACATACCTACCAATTACATATGTATATGTATGCATTTATATATTATTTACATAAGACTGCAGTCACAGTGTCACAAAGCAGAAACCATTTTTCCACCAGAGAAGCAGACCTGAGAACGATTGATCCCAGAAAATCATATTTGTGAGTCGATTTACAAGAAATCCGGTAAACTGGTAGATTTTTGCCTACATTAACACAGGGTGCATGGACTTGGAACCGGTACATTCAACATCAACATCGGGCCTATAATTCTATTCACTTGATTTCCATAGCTTTTCAGGAAATTGAAATTACAGATTTAGTACTTATGCAATTCTTTCTCTCAGATCGACGAAAATTCTGGGTGCGACAGTTAAGTAATGAGACTAATTATATTGCCACAATTGTGGTAACCCTGCGAACTTGAAATTCTTTTTTCCCGGCAACCTTCTACTCTACATTGATATACTTGCCATCGCTCTAGATTGTTCGGTTCGTCTGTTGTGTCGTGTTGAGTGAGAGATGTGTTCGTGGTGCTCGTCACGAAAATGGAAAAACGAAATCAAGAGCAAAGCGTCGCGATATAATTTTTCGCCAAATTGGGCTGCTTGACCGAGACGCCAAAGCTCCCAATGGTTGTCTCCGCACGCCCCCAGACCGAAAAAAGCTTACACGAGCAAGTCGAAGGTGAAAACGATTTTTTGGCAGCCGTGGAATCGTCCACAACTACTATCTACCTATCTACCTATCTACTATCGGCAAGTACTCGAAAGATTGCGAAAATATTTTGGATTGCGGCCGCAATGGCCGAGCGGTTAGCCGTGCTACCATTTGGAAGGCTAAGGCTGAAAATTATAGATTTTTTTTCCTAATTGCGGTCTTCTCTCGTCAGAGAATGTTAAGCTACTCTCGTGTATTCCGACATGAAATTAAATCTTCTCATATTAATTCATTGGCTTTGTATAATAATAATAAAATGAGATATCTCTGAAGCCGACTGCGAAGAGAGAATGAAACTACCTTCAAATTATTGGATTATGTTTGTTCTTTCATACTTTTTGTGAAACATTTTATGAACACAGAACACTGCTTTCGATGAATTCACGTATATTAAGATACTTACACCTAAAAAATGTACATATGTATGTACGCATGGGCAAACATTTACACTTTAGTCGAAAAAACCGACAGTTTTAAATGTAAGCGCCAACCAAGCAAATGAGCGCAGCTACCACAACTAAATGCTAAGGGGGTTGCGGAAGAGTAGCAAGTTTCATCAGCACAAACCGGTAGTAAAGAGATGCATGTATGTACATATGTACGCGTATGTATTTATGTAGTCGGGCTAAATGACAATTGCAATTGCTGCCACTCGGTTACAATCATTATATTGGTTACGATGCGAATAAGCCACCATTGTCCAACGGATACGCGCACACACACACACACACACACATCCATGCACACATGGCAATTAAATTGTGGCACTTCTGTTCTGGCCATGTGGTAGTTGGCTGCTAACCGACTGTTAGCTTCGGAAGGGCTGCGGGGCGGAAATTTGCAACCATTGCCATTATCGCAATACGCCCAAGTCGCAAATTGCAACTGATCGGGGATAGACACACTAATTGCGCCATATTTTCATTTAATGCCCAATGTGTGTGGAAGCGTGTGCTTGTGTGCTTGTGTGTTCGTGTTTTCGGGTTTTTAAAAGTTGCAGTGCGACTTGTTGCCACCGTATCAGTAGTAGCAATATTCTCTTATAAGCGCATAATTAACGGCAGTTTTTGCCAGCGAAAGAGTATCATGAGCGTGTAATTAAAATGCCATTATTAATAGGCGCATGCACCAGTGGGGGGTTCATTATCTCCTGCTGAAATTGCAATTTTTTTTTTGGTTTTCTTGTGTTAGCCACACAGCAATAGCTTTAGATGATATGCAGAATATTTGGTTGTTCTCTAATAACTAAATTTTATTTCAGTTTTGGGATTCAAGCGAACAACTGAAAGTCTGACCTTCTCATTTTTGCTACCACTAAAGCGACTGAAAAGATTAATCTTCCATGAACTCAATATACACTCAAGGTCTATTACCAGGTTTAAAAGAATCTGTAAGAATCTATAAGTCCCCACATTTTTCGTAAGTTCTTCTAGCAAGCTAATTCTTCCTCTTTACGAGTTTAGTAAAAATCGTTTGGCTCAAAGGCGGGTTCTTAGTTTGGCTGGCACAGGATAGTCGTCTGACTGCGCACTGGATTTTGTATTTCTTCTGTCACAAGATGATTGGGTTTTGTGTTGGGTTTCCTCATGCTGAAATCTAGTATTATGGATAGTCTTATTCTGGGATTCAGCTTAGTCGATCAGCTCCAGCCATTTCTGAGAGTTCTCGTCGCGGAGGATAAATTTTTTGACTACTGCGCCCAAGTGTTCCTCATGGGACTAATTTTGGACATCGTTATGGCCAATCGATTTCCTGCAGAAAATGAAGTTTTAATGCGGATCGTGGTTAGCTCTTGGCCCGCAAAGATAACTAACATTCAATGCTAAATTTACTAAACTTTACAAGAATCCCAATTCGGGAAGGTTGAAACCTTTATTTTTTTTGACAATCAGGAGACCGATTAATTCCAATTGATTTTTTTTTCCTTTTTTGTTATCCGTTAATACTAAGTACGAGTAGAATGCCTAAAAATCTTCTCCGAATTTCAAGAAATATGTACTCCTTAGGAAAACTAATCCCTTTCCCTATATTATAAATTTTCGTCTGGTTTTGTGATAAGAAGAGTTTTAATGGGTGCATTCAGCGAACTGTTCGCCCAGTAAACATGTTGAGTGATCGATTTTACTGAGCGATTAATTTTCATGAAAGCAATGCTTCAAATGTCGAAACGATCACATTAACCGTTACTTCAACTGCCAAAACTAACTGTGAAGTGGCACAGTTTCTTCATAGAAATGCTTGGTCCTTTGTTTTAAATTTTTTTCTCTGAAAAACTGTTTTTTTGTGCAGATGACGCAACTAAATCTTTTTGAAAACCCAAAAATCAAGTAAATTGTCGTCACAAGCACTTTCAAATAAACTGTTAAACCCAATTTTCGTAGATTATTGGTGCTCCATTAAGGACCGACTTGCTTACTGATTCTATCAGATTAAATTTATTGAAAATTTTTTCTTGGGTTTGGTCATTTTTCTTATTGTAATTATGTACCTGCACTGTAATTGCACTTGAATTGTACGATCGAATTTAGTAAAAGCTTAGCGAGCTCAATGCCATTATTTAAACCTGTATTTGGGTAAATTGAATTCTCAACGAAAAGATTTAAAACGATGTTAACTTCTTCAAAGTGAGAGTGCGATTAGTTTTTGCTATTGCCTCCGCAGGATATATTATATATACATACATAGTAGAGCTCTAAGAGAGACTGTTCCGCTACCTTTAATTTCTCCTTCTAAAGATTTTAGAGAGCGTTAAGAAATATTTTATTTCATTTCGTCTTCGTCACTTTCAATTATTTTTCACTTTTACCCTTTAATATTTATTTGTGTTAATGAATTATGATACCAAAATAGAAAAGATATAAGCAATAAAATAACGATGTTGAAGACGTATCAACATTTGCCGGTGGCTATGATATCGCCTGGATTAGCCGCAATTTCCTTAATTAAAAATTCAATCAGTTGCAAGCAAATCAAATTTCTTCTTCTTCTTTAGTGGCGTGGACGTCGATTACGCAATTATAGCCGAATCAAAAATAGTGCGCTATTCGTTCCTTCTCACTCCTTCACTGGTTGGCGTTCCTGTTTGCTCCCCACCTCTGTTTAACGGAGTGTAGATCATCCACCACATTTGCTTCTAGCACCGGGTATTACATCGAATACATTCAAAGCTGCAGTGTCTTAATTTATTCCGACGATATGACTTAGCCGGCGTAGCCGCTGTCTCTTGATTCGTTTAGCTATATCGTTGTCGTCATATAACTCGTACAGCTCATCGTTCTATCATCTCCTGTATTCGTTGTTACTAATGGGGTTTCGGGCTCGCCATCTGCGGCAGTCTGGAGAAGAGCTCAATAAATTCAGTGTGCTCTGGACACCAGTATTAAGATCATCTCTTTGGGTCCTACAAAAGTTTTGCACCGGTATTGAAACCTTCTGTGAGTCGCAGTATCCTTCACTGGGATTTTCGAGCATTACTCTTGTCGGTGAGCTCCTTAAGCTCTTCACTCACGCTTTTTGAGATCTCTCTTTTTTGTCTGCAAATGCGTTTGCGTACTTGTCACCAATCGCATAAAAATCATGACTGAATCATCGATATTCGTAATTTTGAAAAAAGTGTGAAATTGACCTATTACGGTGATATGGAAGTGCGGTAAGGTTCAATATTTAGCTCAGCTTCTTTATAAAGACCAACTCTGTATTTCATTTGTGGCGATGGCAGTAGCCATTGATAGCAGTGTGTGCTGCCAAGCGGAAAATTCTGGCTTTGAACATACAGAAAAAATTAGGAAAATTATAGGAAAAAATATAATTCAGCTCCGAATGTATTCCGTTATAACATCCATTAGCCGCTTGAGAGCGGATGAGAATAAACTGTAGACCAATTATTGTGATATATTTCCGTATGAAAGAGTTTTTATGGAGGTTCCTTCATCAACTTGAATATAATCTATATTTTGATCCACTGACTTGGCGGGCCATTTTGAAAGTGAAGTGTATTATGTGAAGAGACGTATTTTTTTTTATAAGATCTAGAGATTAAATCATTTTGTAGACACTATCGCCAGCTTTCATCACAATTAGCTCCACTTTTCAAAGATTGGAATCACTTTTTTATTTTTGAGGATGGAAAATTATTACAATTAAAAAAATTATTTTTATTTTCCATTTAATGGTTAATGATGAAAAATTCTGCACAATATCAGCCCTCGCAATTTTTATTGTTGTTTTAGGGTGGAAATGCCTTACGGCAATTGACAGATGAAATGGACTGTTATTTATATTTACGCCACAATGTACAATTAAAAAGTTCATAATAGGAGGCCGTAAAGTAAAAAATTGGGTTCGCAAATAAATTCCCACTCTTTTGTCTATAATTTCTCTCATTTTGCATTTGACAGCTCGAGTGATGACTCCGTAAAGAGTTATTTCTTTAGGCGCATTTTTTTTTTTTTAATGTGCATCTATATATTTTTCTAATAACTCAATTTTTTTATTCGGTTGTAAAAGCAAAGCTGTCGCTGTAGGGCAAAGGGTTCATTATTGTTAAATAAAAACAAATTTACTTGATTTACCAAATTAGTTTGTGACTAACACTCGCTGATTAGAGTCGAAAAATGTTTGCCAAGAGAAAGAAAATTGTTAAATGTGGGATGGGTGTATGTGGTGGGTGGGTCTGGCAGTTTGCTTAGCAAAATTAATTTATTGAAAGTTTTCAAGTGCTAAGGTATCTGTTTGTGAAAGCATATCTTCAGCTTTGGTCTATGTGAAAAGTATCTACCGCATGCACAGAAATGGCGGAAAGACGTAGGCGGCTTGATTACATAATTACAATTTTACTCAGAATATTTAATTATTTATAATTACTGGTTAATTTTATTCAGAGTGTTTTCGTTGTTTGCTTCAATCTTATTCTAAAAAACTTTATTATGAAACGCCAATAATGCTGTAACCACTTTAAAGAAATTTTAAATAAAATTAAAATTCTTCATTTCTTTTTATCCTTTACCTGAGTTAGACATAAGAGCGAGTCTTAGTTAGTTTTAAGGAGCCAATAAATTGCTACTCTAAGCCGTCCCAGATCAACCTCGGAAAATTTCATATAGACTGGTTTAGCCGTTCTCAAACCTTAGCGTCACTAACAAACAGACATTAATTTTTATATAAAGAAAAAGAGTATTTTTTTAAAAGTAATTCTTTGCCCCTGTAAGTAATGCATCCTTGTTTATATTTGAAATGTATCGCCTTTGTGGCAATCAATACAAGCGGACTGATATGTTTGGTAATTATCGAACACCCTACTTCACATATCTCTATTCTTGTAAACTTTTAGTTAGTACTCTAATGATCTGCATCATGAACATTCGCGTAAAACTTTTATCTAATTAACAAAACTTCAACAAAGCGTCAGAAAAATATTCGAAACTTATAAATAAAGAAGTGAACAAAACAAGCAGAAAGGGAAAACGAAAAATAAAGCATAATGAAGTCAAACTTCATCAAATGGGGCATGATTTTTGGTGGGGCAAGTGTTACATCTTCTCACAAAATTCAAAAGAGCGTTGCGAAATTTCTGCATTTTCATGACATACAAAAACGCAAGGGGCGGTAGATGCGTCTACTCATCCATTTTATTTTTTAATAAAAAGGTTATGCCGTTGCTACAAAGTTTTAAAGGTTTTACTTTGAAAACAACGCTATTTTAAACGCTCCTTGGCTTCTTATGAATTTATTTTAATTTTTAATAATTATTAATATACTATAATTAATTCATGGCGCAAATGAACTTTTTGACGATACATTTTTCAGATACTTTTTTGTCTTCTGTGTATGAATTACGTTTTTCAATATTTATAAAAACTTTTAATTGGATTCAAAGCTGAGTATCCTTTGATTTATGCTTTTCTTTTACACTAGTGGTCAAAAGCTCATTACTTAGAATAAAGTCATTGCCATGGAAGTCATATTAGGTTTGTTTAGTGAGACTGAAAATAGAGTAGAGCATCTCATGTTCGAGCGAAATAGAGAAGCTGCCAAAAAAAAAAAAACAATAGATCAAGTTAGAGCAACTCGAGCGAAAAGCGATATTTTCAACAAGCTCTCGCCAAAGCTCACTGCAGAAATATCCAACAGCGATTGTTCGACAGCAGCAAACAAGTTGAACTACCTGCGGTAATAAAATTATTTTTTTTGCAGAATTTTTTTTTTCGCAGACGTAACCGAAACAAGCGTGTAAAGGTGAAGAAAGCTAAAGAAAGGATACTGGGGTACAAAAAACTAATAAAGATAAATCTTTAAGCGAGGTAAGTTGAAAAAAAATTTTCATGTATTTTTATGTAACAGCTAGTATATAGAAAATTTAGCGCCTTTCCTCTAGATGTGTTCATATGTTTGTATATACGTGTGAATGTTTCTTTTGCTTATGTAATTTCTTTTTGTTTATTTTAGTTGACCATTACCACTTTTTGCTATCTATGTACGAGTACTGATACAAAGTGTTAGCTGTCCTGGAATAAAGCATTTACTCCAATGCTGGTATTCAACAATTGCTTCAAAAATATGTACATAACAAAATGTTGCGAAAGTGAAAAAAATTTTCACCGAGTTCGAATTAGATCCACACGAGAACCACAGTTTTATGTTGAATAGTTGTTTTTCCCAATGACAGTTGTCAATGTGTTTAACATGCCCTGTCTATACTGGCGCTTACGGAATGTACAGAAAGATATGCAAAGAAGGTCGGTTTAGTATGGAGCAGCGGAATTTTATATTTTGGAACTTCTTGATTTTACTTGAATTAATCATTTATTTCTCACTCATGTTTCAGATCATAACATTTTTGAAGGCGTAGTCATTTGTATAATTTTTTAAAATTTGTTAATTTTGTAAAAAGTAGTATTAAACTTAAAAAAATATAAATTTTCTTTCGGCTGATTCTACTTTGTAGTCTTTATTTATGTCGCCTTGCAGGTTTTTAAGAAAAAACTATTTCTAGTACTATCATGATACGGACAAGATGTGAATTAAAATCTAATTAATCATTCTTGCTTACAAAAAATGTCGTGTCTATGGTGCAAATGCTCACAAACATTTCAATGCAGTTCATTAAAAAAAGCTCAAACTTGGTTATCTGTTGTTCTCCTTACGAATTCATACATTCTGAGTGCGCTTAATTACCCATAGAAGTGCTCAGTAACCCACACGTAACGTCTCGCAAGCAAGTGTTATGAATAAAAAATATTTTCGAAAAGTTTCGAGAACGCATGCCCGTTCTTTGGCTGTGTGAGCTGGGCTAGCAGCGTGCAATTCAAGCCGTCAACTTCCAAGAACAACTTTTGCATTCAAATATTTGCAATTCTTATCAGAGCATCACAAAAGTGTACAGCTGACAAAACATAAGTAAAAAACCTTATCAAAGGATAAAAACTTAAAATAATACTACATTAGCATATTTGTAGCGCAAAGGAGCTGTTGACCAAAGTGGTGGCATACATTTAGGCGTACCAGCACGAAAACAGGAAAGAATTATATGATTAAGCAAAACAAGTAAAAAAAAAAGAATACACTTTTCACAGCACTGCTAGTCCGAGCAAGAAAAATAACTGTGCATACAAGCAATGTGTAGAGTTGTAGCATGAACGTTGGATAAGGTGGTGCTTTGTTGGCGTTGCCACTAGGGTGTGGTTGGGCATCGCTTTTGTATTTTTAATGAGCAGCTGTGATGAGATCGAGCATCGCAGCAAATCCTGTGAAAGTGAAAAATTATCGTTGGAGGAAAAGATAAGCGCTTCAAGGCATGACAGTCACATCACTTCCTATCTATATCTCTCCGCTCCCTTTGTCATCCACCAATGTCGGCGACCACTAAGCGTTTACTTATTTTGCTTAGCTTCCATGCTGCAGCTTCAACTTTACTATGCATTCTCCTTTCGCTGTTGCACCTCCTCAATCTTTTCCTTTCACCAGCTGTATTATGGTTTCATGGCGTTTTGGTTTTAGCTCGGATTTCCATAATAAAACATTTCTATTGCCATTGGCACTTCATTAAACTAAACTCATGAATATTATGAATTTTCTTACATTTTTTCTGACTTTCAATTCGATGCGCAACAGAAGACAACAACAAAAATAGGAATATCAGTATAAGCAACAGCTTTTGGGTGACTTTAAGTGAGACGCCCGTGGTGAGAAGAATGACAAGTATTCAAAGAAACGGAAAAGCAGGCAGAAGAGATGTCGAAGGAGAAAAATCGCTTCAGGCATTTTCGCTATTTATTTGCGCTCTTCATTTTATATATGTATATATATAATTGGCACTTTGTCACCACTGAAGCGATTTTCGGCCCAGCTCCTCCTCTGATTTGTGGTATGGTGCGTCTTAAGGGACGCTGAATTTTTATGAGGAACTTTTACTTAATTTCAGAAATATACGTAGTTGGGAGTTTGACGTTTAGTGACGAGGGGCCCCTTGCTTGAGAAGATGACCGATAAGGGTAGTAATCGAAAATTTCATGAAAATATACGAAGATTTACAGAAGGTTTTAAGACCGAAGGAGACTCTTTTAGGACAATATAAGCGGATCTTGTAAGGAATGCCCTGAGTATACAGAATTTGTGGAGGGCCTGCTGAATGGCATACACAGAGGTGGTGAGCCCGAAATCCCAATCGATGACGATGGAAAAGATGTTCCACTACTCGACCATAACTAGGTTCAAATAGCGATCGCCTATTAAAGAACTATTCAAACTTGGCGGTGAAGAGCTGTCAAGGGAATTCATCAGCTGCTTAGCAAGTTTAGTCGGACGAAAGCATGCCCGAAGATTGGAATTTAATTGTGCTCAACCCAATTCACCAAAAGGGTTATCCCACAGTTCGCGCCAATTACCATGGGATAAGCCTAGTTAACATCGCATACAAGGTAGGCGTTTTGTGTGAAAGACTAAAGCCCACCGTCAACAAACTGATTGGACCTTATCATGGTGGCTTTGGAACTAGTAAATCGATCAGATATTCACCATGCGAAGATCGACACACACCAATTCCTCGTCGATTTTAAAGCTGTCTTCGATAATCCGAATAGGAGCTGCCTCTATGTATGAATTTGGTATAACCGCAAAACTTATACGGTTACGTAAACTAACTTTAAGCCACAGTAAAAGCTCCATCAAAATCGGGAAGTTTAGGGTACTTCATTATCGTGTGACTTTTTTAATTAATTACCATTTTTTATTTTTTTTAAGCTTAGGCGTTTAGATTTTCCAAACAATATGTCAAAAGTTCTTGGTTTGGGGCTCTGGTTATACGCACACCCAGGGAACTGCGGGGTTGATCAGCTGATCGGTTGGGGATAGTCGTAACCCCCGTAAACTCTGCGGTCCGATTTCTCCTTCTTTGATTGCTAAGCACAGGTATCATTAATCTCTTGATCTTCATAAAATATATCAACTGGTTTGAACATCTGAAAAGGTGTAAGGAATCTGCACAGAACAACATAGGTATCATCAGGAGATCAGGGTTTCGTGATCGAACAAGCTGTTTAACTAACTAGCTGACTTATATGAATATAAATATTTAGCGCTTTTTGTTTAATTATGAGGTTCTTATAATGAGTTTCCACTGCTCTAATAACTCAACAACCTTTTAAACAATATCTTGTCTGCTTACAAAACATCTCTAAAACTGTGAAATTAATTTGCATTCAAACGTAGATACAAACTCGTATAGCAAATTTAGTTAGCTCCTCATTCTCTTGAATTCGATTTAAGTTTTGGTGGACGAATCTCTTCCCTTTATGCTACTTTCTGTTACTTTCTGGCAATTTTCTAAAGTTGTAATACAAAAATCATGAAAAGCATATATTCGATGAAGTCCGCTATCAGGGGCTGGGAAATACATGATTTTTGAATATTTGAACATTTGAAAAATATGAAAATTTTCCTCATATTTTTTATATAAAAATGTTAAATTTTTTTTAAGAGAAGAGGGTAGCATGAAGAAACCGAAGCACGTTTAATGTCAGATAGCTATGAAGCCGACTGCGAAGAGAGCATGGAACCAGCTTTAAATTATAGTATCCTGGTAAATACTACGATCGATGCGCTGTTTCATTTAATATAAAAAATTCTTAAATTTTTTGACTAAAACACTTCTAGTTTTTTCAGTAGCAAAGAAAAAAATTAATTTTAAATAACTAATCCAGTATAATGATGTAAACCTTTTACATATTATTTATTCGGCAATTCTTAAACGTGGTAACTAAACTAAGCAAGAGAAACCTATAGATCCAACACGCTCCGGCATGGTTGTTTTGCTGGAAATCTAATTCAAACGAATTTCAGTAATATTTCAAATATTTTTGCTATAAAATTTTAATTATGTATTTCCAATTGCAAATGAAAATGTAAAATAAAACATAAGCTAAAGTGCGGGGTGATAGCGTAAAACTCACATTTAATTCTATATGTTTATTTATTTATGTGCAAATGGTAGTGTTTTGTTTGCGCACAAAGGAAATTCACCTAAACCTGAAAAATTCGCAAATATACATAAAAATAACTGAAAATTTACAAACAACCAGCATAGATGCATAAATAAACTAAATACATATGTGTGCAAATTCATACCCATATAAATGTGTGTTTGGTCTAAATTATTTGAGTATTTATATTTTGATAGTTCAAATAAAACCTTTTTGAGGTGTTCGCAGAAACAAACACTTTCGTATTTACTATATCCGGTTAAGCACTTAATCATAACTTAATCGGAAGTTGGCATAAATTTCGTTTTCACAATGCCCGTTTAAGGCACATCTGTCAGTTAAGTTGCGGTTAACTTAACGCCAACAGTAAGTGGCGATTGGCTCTTAGCCAGAAGGTAATTTTTGAGCTGGAAATTATAAAATAAAAAATAAAATAGTATTCTGCTGTTAACTTTGAATTGAGAAATGAGTTGAGATTTCATCTTTCCAAAATTAAAGCAAAATAAGTTGTGGAAAAAATTAGAATTAAAATTAGAAGCCGCACTGAAAGGTTTGTGAAAATAATATGCGTTGAGTAAAGGAATATTCTTGATATCTTATTTGATTCTACAGGAATAAAGCAGAAATTTATGCATCGGGAATTTTTTTAGTTTGTGCTCCGGTGATGGTTGTGCTCTGGTGAAGTGGCGACTGCCAGTCGGGTGTTTCCATTGTTGTAGTGGCACTTGTTCAATCATATATCAAAGTACCGAAAAAATATGGATGCACACATTTCAACAAATAGCGAAGTTTCCAAAGGTGTTAGCGTGTTTAGATTACACTCATATCGGGTATTTGTAAAATGAAAGCAATGGACTTTGTATGTAGGTAACCTGGTTCTTTCCATGACAGCATAATTTTTAAAAATAACTGACCGAACCACCGGTTTGAGGAAAATTAATTTAGGGATGTCTTTTGATAGGATGGTAGTGGTTAGGATTTGTCAGCAATTACTTGTTGTGTCAACTTTTACAATCCAATCTTCGTGCTGAACGTCTTTACAATGAATATCAAATCCGTATTCGAAATTGCATATCGGAGAGCAATGGATTGAGAGTTTCGCTCAGCACAACTATGAAAATTATTGTTGACTGTAGAGTGTTGCACAATTTTGCTATCTAGAATGACTCTAATTTGGATTAGGTAGAAGTTCAAGCGATTGAACCAGCAGAAACAGCCGTTGTTGGCGACGAAAATATAGCTGAAGTGCAAGGAAATTACATACATTTTATACATGTAATTTGAAACCAATAAAATCATTTTTTCCAGAATATATGAAACAAACTTCATTAAATTACAATTTTTTTCCATAGCCAAAAATTAAAATTTAAAAAAT